TCCTCCATTTCTGTCATTTGTGACCTGTTTCTTTGTCTCTGCATTTTTTATGCTTCGCTGTGTCAATAGAGTGGCTTTGTGTGCTAGGTGTCCTATAGGGCCCAGTGGCTCAGCCTCCCCAATTACCTGAGGTGGACACTCGTGGTGCACCCCTTTGTGAGCTGTGTGCACACGTGAGAAGAATTTAGTAACAACATCAACATCAGCAATGACAGAACCTGGGGTGGCCAAGCCTAAACGCTGGACAGTGGCCACCCATCCGGCCAGCAGCTCTAAGGAGCAGGCAGGGTGCCCGGAGGAGGTGGGGTGGGCCTGACCCGGCAGAAGCAGAAGCAGGCTGAGCCCCTCAGCGGGTCGGGGCCCTGGTGACCCCCCTGCAGAGAGAGCAGGCTGGGTGGGGGGCGGCTGACAGATTGGGGGGCAGGGCGGCGACGGTGATGTGACCACATTGTGGGTTCTTGTTCCAGCATCGAGAAGGGTTCAGCAATCTGGAGAAGGCTGTGCGTACATTAGATAGGAGTCCAGAGACAAAGCATCATTTTGAAAGGCATTTGGGGGTCAGAGGAGCCTAGTTTAAAGGGAACTAAGATCTCAGATCTCCTCGTCTCAGGACCCCATGCTTTTCATTAACACAATTTGTCCTGAGGCGAGGCAGAGATATATAGTTCACATAACACTGGCTAGTGAAATAGAAAGGCCAAATTTAGACTTTTTTTTAAATCAATACATTAATCAAAGAAGCAGCAATTCTAACACCAAAAGAGCTCAATAAAAACAGAGACTTTCATTCTATACCCCGAGCACCTACAGCAGCACCAGGCACAGAGCAGCCCGTTGGCCAATTTCACTTGAATGAATGAATGAGTGAATGAATGAATGAATGAGTGCTTACTTTGTTTAAGATGCTACAAGGGATGCCAGCCATGTAAGATGCAGTTCCTACTGCAACATCTAGAACCTTACACTCCAAAAGGATAAAACAAAAAAAACGCAAACACAGCTAAACTGGGCACCGAGGGGAAAGGTCAAGGAAGTGAGCAGCCATCCAGGTGCGGGAGGGACGGAGAAGGTCTATGTAGGAAGTGGCCTGAGCTGAGTTCCCAAAGACAGGAACGCCCGGCAGCTGGTGACGGCTGCGCTGTGGGCGACGGAGGGCCGGGGTCCTGGCCTCCGGACTGCGACCTCACAGACCTTTCGTTCCAGTGGAACCCCCTGCTCTTCCGACTCCCTCGGACACCATTGCACGCAGCTCGCTCCTCCATCATCAAAGAATTCGTATTTTCTCTTGAGTAGGAAAGGAAATAGTTGATACACGTGGCTGAAATATAAAAATAGAGAGACATTTAAGGAGGTAAAGATACAGTCCTGCTCAGTGGAGTTTACATTTGGGACGCCTTCCTTTTTTTCTGTTTTTTTTTTTGTGGACACGAGTTTATACATGTTAATGTATATACTCGTCTGTTGGTTGTTGACATATATGTTGTGTATAGATTTGTGTTCTCCCTGTTTTCATAAAAGTTTGTATGTTTTTTTAAACTTCTCACATGAGGATTTTTTTTTTCCATTGATCTTTTTTAGAGAGTGGAAGGTGGGGAGGGGGAGAGGGGAAGAGAGAGAGAAATGTCAGTGTGAGAGAGACATAGCAGTGGCTGCCTCCAGTCCCCATCCCAACCCGGGATCGAACCTGCAGCCCTTCGGTATGTGGGCCGACGCTCTAACCACTGACCAAACCGGCCGGCACTAAAAAAGTTTTAAAGAAATTATAGCGTGTATACCATTCCCCAAGTCATGAGAACTTTTTCATAAGCAGCATCGTCATGCTTCTTGCACACGAACGACACTGTGAAGAACGTGATTTTGTAAATGACTTTTGTTCACTTTGTTTTCTGAGAAGAGATTCCTAAATGTGGAAATGCGTCTCCACGGCCTAGGAAGCTGGTGCTAGCGGCTGCGCTCCGGCCAGCAGGGGGTGCCATTGTCCTGGCTGCTCGAAAAGGCTCCGCCTGTTCTCCAGGGCCAGAAGCTCCTGCAGCCTTGCCTGAGCTTAACCTGGCCTTTTGGCTGACTGTTTGGAAGCATAAAAGCGTTTAATTTCTGGACTCTGGGACCTAACATTTCACCTCCACATGGCACAGAATATAATGCACAGAAATACATTGAGAAGTGTTGGGAGATTCATGTGCAAGGGTGTCCGTTGTAGCCTTGTTGAGGATAGCAGAAGTTCCGGAACTGCCAGCAGGGGGCTATGACATGCCCGCACGGCCATGGGGAAGAAGACGCGGAAGTATGAAAGGGCTGGGATTAGATGTTAGTGAAATCCACCGTCGCTGCGCACCTGCCCGGGCTGGAGTGTTCTCCCGGCGCCCGCGCCAGGTTCACGCCCTGCCTTCGGTGCCCTGTCGCAGTCTCACCGCCCGCACGCCCACCGCGCTCCCTGCTCAGCCCTCCACCTGCCCAGCCCCTCCAACCACTGAGCTTGTTACTGTCTCCGTCGTTTTGCCTTTTCCAGAAAGTCGCGTAGTTGGGACCGTACAGTGCGAAGCCTCTAAGTGGCATGTACTGTTCCTCTGGGTCTTTTTGTAGCTGGATCGCTCAGATGTTTTTATCACCAAATAAGGTTCCATAAATGATTTTATAAATAACATTCCAGTTCACCAGTTTGCTGACCCTCTCCCCTATTGGAGGCCCGGAAATCGAGGCCCAGAAATCGCGTTGTTTTCTCAAAGCTCCCGAGGCTCCTCTGCGTGCACCCAGCCGGCGAGAGATTCGCACACAGGGACAGAGAGACACCCGGCCTGCACCGAACATGGAACATAAACCCCAGGGAATTAGGCATCTAAACGCCCAGCAAGCCTTTAACGTGCTCTTAAAAACATAGAAGGGTACGTAAGTAGAAGACCTTTGAGGACGGGAGGGTTTCATTCGCTTCAAAACGCATAAAATAAAAGGTTGATGGAGTTGGCTTTGGAATGTAAAAATCCCGTGTTTCCAAAGACATCGTCAACGAAGCAGAAGAGATAAGCCGCAGACGGAAGTATGTGTCTCGCGCACCATGTCACCAGTGTTAGTGTTTAGAATAAAAGGAATTCAAGTGTGTTCATAAGAAAAAGATGGGCTATCTACTGACCTTCACCAGGGGCCCAACGTGATGGTGGGGGTCCTTCCCCTCGGAGGAGGGGACAGACGAGGGGGTTGAGGGGGAAGACTCTGCCCACCATTGCTGCCCCTGAAGGTGGAGGAGGGGCCGCGGGCCAAGGAAGAGGGCCCCCTGTCCATCAAGGGCCATGGGAAGGATGCAGAGAGAAAGGCTCTTTTTGCTGCTCCTGATAGCGAACAAGTGTTTTCTGCGGCCGCTACCCTGACTTCCTCTTCCTACTAAGAATCTCTTGGGGCCGAGCAGCTCGCCTCTGCCAGCTTCAGGCTGCTGTTCCCAGGAGCCCGTCCTTTTCCGTCGCACGGCTCCAAAGACACCCCCTAAACACACATCCTCCTGCGTTGGCAGCACCCGCGCCCGCCTTTCTCCGGCACAGCTTCTCGGTCTCCGCGGCGTCGGCATTGGCACGTGTGTCAGACGCGAGCCCGTGGCGATCAGGTCGGTGATCTGCTCGAGCCAGACGTGTGTCAGCCTTCCCCGGGGAGGGGGACGGGCAAGGTGCTCATTCCACTGCCGCCCGGGAACTGGGTGGAACAACGGTCCAACACGCCCTCCCTGGGCCCCCGGGTCTGTTTGGAGACTCGAGCGAGGGGGTCCTGGTGTTCAGATCTCTCTGGAAGGGAAGGCACGGGCCCAGGGCTGGCGCCCTTCTGTGTATTTCGTTCTCACAGGCCTGCCCTCCCGCCTGGCTGGCTCGCAGTGAAGCGGCGCTCGGACAAGAGCCAGGTGTCCCCCAGCCCTGGCTGAGGCAGGCCCGGCCGAGTGCCCCTCTGTGTCCCACATCCTAGAACTCCTTCCGTGAAAAGCCATGTGCACTGTTGTGAGCGGGAGGAAACCTTGCCGCCATCTGCATCCAGCCCCGAGGGGGAACGGCTGTGAGGCTGCAGGCGGTTGGTAGGAGCGGCCGGAGGCTCGGAGCTCCGCGGGGCAAGGCCAGGGGGTGAAGGGACTGCAGAGGAGTCATCCTGGCGAGAGGTGCTGGGCGTCTGGGTTAGAAGTGGCGGAGCAGAGGGACCAATCTGAGAAGAGTTATTTCTCTTTTGTTCAATTTCACTTTCTGGTTTAGAAACATCCCGACTCACAGCCAAGTCGAGGGGCCGCTGCAACGCTCAGCCGGCGCCCGTAGCCCCCAGGCGCCCACGTTTCATACCGGCGGCTGCGGGAGCTGAGGCGGAGGGAGACTGGTGATCGATCAGATCCCAGGGAGTAGGTGGTGATGAGGGGAGGAGAGCAAACGAGAAGGAAGATGCCGGAATGCCTGGGCCTCCAGCCGGGCCAGGGGAGAGAACGTAGGCAGCCCGGCCGCGCGGGAGGGAGACGAGGGGCAGGTGAGTAGCGGCTCTCGGGGCGGCGGGTTGTGCTGATACCACACTGGCCCCTGCCACGTGGATGAGAAAGAACACGGGGCAGCGGGCCCACCACGGGCTCCCCACCTCCCGTGGGAGCAGCCAGGCTGAGGCTGAGCCAGAGGGAGCTGGGGGGCACCTGGTGATGTGCAGGTCTGGCCCCATGAGGGTTTCTGAAAATGAAAAAATAACCTCCTAGCCTTGTCCCCATGACAAGGGTTTGAGCATCTGAACAGAGGGAGGCAAGAGAGTGTTCCAGAAAGAAACCCGGTGATGTTACAGGCTCGGGTCCGCCGTGCAGGCCGCTGCCCAGGCTCTGCTCAGGGTCTCTGCTGGGGGCACAGGAGCCAGCTCTGCCTCAGCCGCCCACTCCTTTCTCTGCTGGGGGCACCTGGGAGCGGCAGGTGCG